TAATATACATATGTAGGCATAAGATTAACTGTGAATAATGTATAGAATCAATTTTTAGTATTGCCAAGAATCAACTGTTACATAGCGTACGGAATCAGTCGTAAATGGTGTGTAGCAGAGATAAGCACAGAACAGGACGCGATGCGGCTGTCCTGTGTTCTGTCCGACCTTGCTCGGCAGGATAGGATGGAAAATCAATTCTTGTCCTATCCTGTCGCTCAGCAGGAGAAGTGATCACAGAGAGGCAGAACAGAACAGGACGAATAAGTTGATCCTGCTCTTTTTATATTGTTTTTTCAACAATTTTTGCATATTACCTATCACTATGGATTATACTTGATGTGTACTAATATGCGATGCAGTCTTAGAAAAAATGTCAAACTCTCTTAGACTCTATTGACGACTTCTGAAATAATCAAATTTTTTTTGTGAAAAGAAGCTATGTCTGGACTACAAATTTTGTAACGGACGTCTATTTCAACGACGAATCTGAAAAGGAGAAAAATCTAGAAATTAACACCTCTAAAAAAGTTCTTGGAACACTTTTCCAACTTGAAAAGTCTGTGTTTCTCAATCATTTTGAGCAACACGTGTCAAATTTGAACAAAAAATACATTAAAATACAGTGTATCAAAAACTCTGTTGATATCAGCTTTGATAAGTTTCTTTTTGAATTCATGCTTGACTCTTTAATTCAAAACGTTTGGTAAAATTGAGCATTTTGCAAGAGCCGTCCTTTTAGAAAACTATCAGTCACCATCTTCAGAAATCATTCACGGAATGAATATCTTTTTTCGTTTTGCGATCGAAATTCATATGATTGTAGGGTTTAAGCAAGAATAGTACTTGAAACAATAGTTTGATCGTTTTAGAGCGGTAAAGTATTGAGAACAACCAAATTAGCCAGTCTCTTTTTAGAAAAAGCTATTTATTGATATGAAAACCAAGAATAAATTTAACTTACGATACACCATTAGAAACAGCATTCTTTGTGCTACAAGAATCATCATTGAACGTGTTTTTCTCATTTCTTTTCTAATAAGAAAGACGCTAACTAAAAACATAGAAAATGATGATGCTTAATGGTAAAGTTGGAAGAATTTTGCAGAGGTGTCGGATATCTAGATTTTTCTCATTCTCAGATTCATTCTTTAAATATATGTCTGCTATAAAACTTGTAGTTCAGATATTGCTTCTTCTAACAAAAAAACTTTGATTAGTTGAGAAGTCGCCAATATGGTCAAAGAGATTTTGACGTTTTTTCTAAGACTTTTGCGTGGCTTATTATAAGGTGCACATGTACCAATAGAATGATAAATTGTGCTAATTTTAGAATTAGTCGCAAAAGGTGTTGGAGTAGAGTCCATCCGATCGACTTGAACTCGATCGAGTCCGGTCTGAATTCGATATTGAAAATTCTGTTATTCGGGCCGATTCTTAAAATTTTGCGTTGACCGAGTCTGAAAATTTCAGGCCCCAACGAACTCTAGTTAAGAATAAGATCTAATTATATATTGATTATTGTAAGACCATCGTGAATGTTGCCTGAGAAATGTATAGATTGTTCTAGTTGCCAATAATAATAAGACTGTGGGTGTGGATGTAGAGATGGAAAGAAGACCAAAGTTGAAATTCATTGTTATCTACACCCACACTCCACAGCCACACTCACATTCACTCACACCGACATCCATATTTCGCGCAAGGTAAAGTTGACGAAAAAATCGATCAAATGCCGTTAGTATTTGGATCATAACTTTGAAAGGAATTGAGATATAAGTTTTGGTCTTTTATAGGTTTGTAGCTCGCCACAAGGCGATTCTAGTCTACTTCTCAAAGTTTAAGTTTCGTTTTATCTTCATACAGCAACAATCTACTCTTTCAAGATGATCATACGCCACTACTTATTTATGAAATAAATCTCAACAATTTTACATGAATCGATGCGCTGCATAACACTCTTTTCAAGGATGAAAATCGCAGTTCTCTAACTTGTTCCTATCAAACGTTATTCGAAAAATACCCACCTACCTTTGTAGACATTTAAAACTTGTTGGCTTGATGAAACAAAAAGGACAGATCGTTCTTATCGTCGATTCGAGTATAAACAGTCTAATAACGATACTATTATGGTGTATCGGAGGATGGCATCAAATATGATCTCTATGTTCAATTAAATTTCATGGAAACGATCATCACTGATAAAGGAGAGCAAGCAATCTTCGCTTTTTCACGCTGATTACTCATAACTGATTATAAACCAGTTTATAAGCGAACTTTTCATGAGTTTTCAATTCATAAACAGTTTCTAAACGCCTTTTCCGCAGGAAACTTGAAGGTACAAAAATGCTATTTATTCAATATTAAAAAATCAGAATACCAGCCTTTATGTTTGAATCTTAAATGTTGATTTCAATATCTCGGGTTGGATTTGAGTGAGAATAGGCAGTTCAAGTATACAGACTCACATTCATTTCTGGAACAAAATTGACAAACAACGTCTGAATAGTTCCCTTAGTTTCCTTACATTGTGAGTTTATGCATAAGTAAACAAACGGTATAGTCAATTAATCCGACTCTGGATCAAAAGTTTCGATGACAGATCGGGATCCCACCATACTGTTAGGTGAATCGAAGTGATAGCATTTTGCACTTTGTCAGTTTTCTTTCTGAGTTCTTTGAAGATAATTAACTGAACATTCAGATCTTTTAGAAATAGTCCGTTGCTGTAGTTGAATTCTGCATTTTGTTTTTAAAACTAGAAACTTTTAAGTAGCGAAGCGTACATCAGTGTTCGTCGAAAATATTTCTTGCACTTTTCTGCTCATAGTTTAAACACCAATACAGATTCTGCCAAAATTTAATCATTTTTCTTGACCTCGTATATCTTATTTTTGCAACTACACTAGTTGATATCAAATGTGAAACTCGAAAAACAAGAGCAAAAAAAAGGGTGAGTGTGAATAATTGGATGGATGTGCAACTTCTCTTCATCTCTACACGAACAATCACACACCCCAGACCCATTTTGATATAAACGTCACTAATTTAACAGCCTCGAATAATCATGATTTATAGCAGAAAACAAGAAAAGCATTCCAAATAAGTGAATAATAGAAGCTGCCATGACATTGGTCGAGTATATGAATTTACCAGATAATTTGAGTTCGGTACTTGACAATGTGAAACGTAACATTATGTTCTTGCTTGTGTTTAGATAAAAAATAAAGTTTGAAATATACACAGAAGAGACTTCGAAGAAAAGGAATTAAACTAAAACTCAAGTATTTTCTTGAATTCAAGTATCAGATCCACATTCATTCTGTGAAGATGTTTCTAAAAGTAGGAAGTGGCAGATTCTTCAGTTATCAACTAGTGAAAAACGCATATTGATAGTTTGAACAAATCAAAGTTATTGGAAAAATAGTGGTCGACATTTGAAAAAATCTGACAATAAAAATGCTTCTCAAACAACATCCATATGTTCATTGAAAGATGTGATGTTTTACAAAACTCACTAGGAGTAGCAACTAGATGATGGTAAACTTGTGTAGACAGAAATCAAACAAAGTATTTCAAGAAAGATATTGTTCTATGTTCTTTAATAGAGGGTTCAGACTAAATCTTACGGGAAGGCTTTACTATCTCTATTCACCACGGAAAATTCTACACTTTAGCTTTGTGATAGATTTTGCATAGCCAGCAATCCGTTCCAGTCTAGAACAAAATCTATTGTGTGCTAAAATTGATAAACAGCAACAAAAGAACACCATACGGAGGAGTATCCAAAGTAGATATCAAGCACGTATGCTTCTGTAACATTTTTAATGTCACGTCAAAGTGAAATTGAGTTTAACTATTTTCTTGACGTGCCAATATTATATTTAATAAGATTCTTCAGAAACATTTTCTCCGTATCAAAACATATTTAGCATATTAAACTGTATTTCTTCGTCATATTAGGTCTCATTCTCGTGAATCATCGATGATGCACATATGAAATCATATCATTCTCAGAACTCTAAAACATGAAATATTGCATTCGTTTAGAATTAATCAAATAGGATTGAAATGTGGTTGCTTGATTGATGTTTTTCTCATTCTTTCATTGTGTTTATCAGAGAAAAAGTGCAAAGAGCACGTCATGTTAGATTAGAAGATTCTCAAGAAAAACAAATAAGTTGATTTTGTTCGTCATACAACATTGCTATATTGACTTTTTGATTGTTTTTATCTGACATTATACTCTCCTAGCGCATATTTTCTATTTATCGACGGAAAAAAAAGAAAGTCAGTCAAGTTTTGTTGCAGTGAAAGATCTAATCTCAAGTATCAACAAATCAAATAGACGAAATCTTGGATTGAACATAATAGACTTTTGCACTGATTCTCCGCAATCATGTCCAGTAAGCAAAAAGTACAGATATTGAGAAATAGTGAGTATTCAAAGAAAACTAAGAGTCTTTACTTATATGACTTTACTTTTTGATACTCAGATTGTTCGATGAACAATCCATGCAGCCGCCATGGTTACTGTCGTGATGATGACCAAGGTCAATGGACTTGTGAATGTAAGTTCTGGTGGCAAGGAAGGCTATGTAATGAACGTAAGTGGAATTTTATATTTCGTTGTAGACAGCATATCAGAATAGAGTATGAACACTAACTATAGGATATTGCACTTATTTTCTTGTATTTTGCAGAATCCAGTAGTGGTAAACAAATAATTGCTTTGGGTGTGACTTTAGGAGCGATTATGGTCCTGTATTATACTATTACACTAATCCGTTACATACAAAAGAGACGAAAAAATGTACTACTAGAAACTAAAGTCAAGTAAGACTTAATTATTGAAATCCACTTCAATGTTTTTGATTATCTATAGACATAACGATCTTAAAACAAATCGGAAACCTTCGAAAATATCATCACAGGCTCACCGTTCGTCTCGAAAACTCTATTCTTGTCTAATGGGATTAAGTACGATTCTAGTCTGTTTCATGGCTTTGGTCATCAAATGGATTCTAATCAAACCGATTCATGTTAGTATGACTTTTAAATTTGATCGACAATTACCTCTCTTCTTTCAACAACATGTTTTGTGCTCGATCATTGAATTGCGTGAAGAATTCAACATTATTACTTTTCCATTAGCTTGTCTTCTTATCGTTATGTTTGCTATTATGACTAAACGGAATCGATCAAAAACAAATCATTGGTTTCAGGGCTATGGAGCTATACCAATGCCGGTGGATTTTTTCGCTCATGTTAAACGAACATTTGCTGCAGTAGTCTTTGCTATTTATGCGGACGAATTGTTGGACATTGCAAATGAATTGATCAGTGGTGATGATACATCATCGGACAAAGGTCTCTTTGTACAAAATTGACCTTCAGTCGACTCAAAATCCGAAATGTGTTTTTTTCGTTCTAGGAGTGATCTTTGCTTATCTATTGCAAATCGCGAGAGTTCTCATAATTGGTTTTCGACGGTATCCTATCCTTGCTGCCGTCTATTTAAATACCGTATTTACTCTATTCTGTGCTACTTTATATGCTTGGCTCGATTTCGCCGTTGTTATTTTCCACAGTAGTTTATGTCACAGTGCTTTTTATCCAACCGAAAGAAATTTTAATGTCACCGAAGGAATGAAATTGATTGATAAATTCAATTTCTATGGTACCGGAATGAAATTACTTTATTTTCAGCTCGGTACCGATGTTCCTCAGTATCTATGTTTGGCCTATATAAGTATCAAATTACCAATATTGTTGTACAAACGTCTTCGACAACGGCAGACGATCATCGATGGGTTGACCCGTGAACAAGAAATTCTATTGTATTCATCGTTACCCCATTCGGTAGAAACTCTATATGTAAGAAAGTTGTTCGGAATGACAACGACAGATGCCTCCAATTATCGATGGACATGGATTTTTCAAAAGATTTACCATTGGCGAAATGATTTTCGATTTTCCTCACGTGTTCTCTCAGTTTACGCATCCGTCTTCCTTCTTCTCTTCTTCATCACTGTTCAGGTTAAGCATTGACATAATTATGTGTCCATCAGGCGACAGCATTTTTCGAACTCTAAAAAGAATTTCTTTTCATTTAGATGATATTTCGTGGCCTGCCATTGTTGTATAAAATGCAGCAAAGTTTACACGTAGCGATTACGAGATCAGGAGAAAAGTCCAATCCAAGTGTCGAATTGGAATTTCCACTTCCCAATTTCATTCCAGTGTATTTGACAGCAACTGCCATTACGCTAGTGATCATCATCACTCAATTGCTTGTCATGCTCGTTTCGATTCGTCGAAATCTTCTTCAAGCTTTTCATGGTGATGATTGTGAAATTCCACGACGAACATCTTCAGACAATATCCAACATGCTGGTGGCAATGTCCATTTTGCCGGCTACTTCATTGGCTATCTTCTATGGGGCTACATTCTCGTTGGAGTCATAGCATTCATCATAACACTAATTATTGGCTCATTTATTCGCTACGGTAGTGTCCGCTTTGTCGAACATATTCTCAAAAATGTCATCCCTCTCTTGCTTATTATCGGCTTCAAAAGTTATTTGAACCAACTTTTGGCACAATATGTCTTTCTGCAGCAAGCTGGTAATGTTCTGTCGCTTGGAAATCGACGTCTATTCATGGTATTCGTTTACTTCAACTTCTTCCTCGATGCTTTTCTCGGTTTAGTTTCTTCGATAATACGTATCGGACGAGGTATTTTCGGTGGCATTATATACATGTGTCGGTTAGATTATGCAACGATGGGACGAAAATTAGAAACCATGGACGAAGGTTTTAGTGCTTACTGTGGTTTTATCCATATGGAATGTGCTCATCGACATCCAGTTATGCTATTTTTTGCCAGTCATATTCTGCGACAATATCTCGAATCGAAGAAAAAACTATCTCGAGCACAACGTAAATGGCATCTAGCCATCTTTTTAATAGCCAATCCAACGTTTGTCTATCGACGAAAAGCATTTCTTGAACAGTCACATATGCGTGAAAAACGTCTGATGTTTATTGGACTGAGAAGTCGTCGGAAGATTTACGTTGAACAACCATTCAACAAAATGACTCAGCCTGCTAACATCATCTCACAAATTGATCTGAACGATTTGTCGCACCGGCAACAATTCTAATGCTACTCATCTTTTTTGTTCTAACTAACGAGCTAATCTGACTTGAACCTGTAAGGAAGGATATCATTCATCTTCTTTTTGTGTTAAATAAAGAAACAAAGTCTCTTGTCTTTTCACACAAACGGCATCATTAAGAATGATGGACGATGGCAAAAAGTACGAAATGGTCGAAGATATAAATTGATTATGTCGAAGTCCAATTCATTCGTCGTATTTCTACAAATAGCTTAAAACAAATGAGTTATTTTTCACAATTCAAGATTGAATTGCTTATGTGTTTCTATTAATCAAACGAATACAAACTCAGATGTGAGTGTGAGGGAATGAACGAGGAAATAGGTGAATCTCTTATTTCACACATTCACACGCTAATCCTGAAGTATTCATGGTTAAAGGAAAAAAAATAAAAAACTTTAAATAGTATGCCGAATCAAATATGGTTTCATAGAAAATGCATGAAACTCATGGGAATTTAACGAAGCTATCAATCATTTTATGTAAAAAATTCGAAATCTTGAAATAGATAATGAAGTAGCGAACAATTTAGTTCTCATGATACAAAATCTTTAAGACCTTCATTCGATATTACTGACATGCAGATTACAATCTAGAATAATGAATCACCTCAATGATTTACATATTACACTAGTGAGAAGACATTGTCCAGAATTATGGTACTTTTAAATAAAACTTATAACTTCAGTAACATCCAATTTCGAAATTTTTCAGAAACTACAAGAAAATTAGATTGTCAATTAAGAGAGTATAGACGACGTCAAAAGTCTTTTATCACTGTTGATTTTTAAAGCATATAGTCAAACTACACCACATTCATTTAATATGAGTATATGTGTATACAGCAGATATTAAGTACTATACTTTTAAGTCATGTTTTTTTTAGTATTGAAGTTCCTAATCACTCAATGTAATACTTGGTAAATAAATAAAAGGACAGCTTTATTTTCTTTTTATGAAGACTCAAAGCAAAGTTCAAAGAGTCTCTTCTAAGTTCATTCGATAACAAATTTTCCACTCTTCAGAACAATTGGCTTGATTTTCTTAATGAGTTTATTTTGTAGGAAAAAAATTTGGAAGACTATGATTTCCTATTATTTTCTGCGAACATCTAATGATTTTTACAAGTCTGTACTCATCAAGTCCAACACTAAATGTAAAGTATTTAGTATCAATAGGTAGAAAATTTCATTATCTCTACTTTCAATGTTCGTTCAAGACTTCTAATACTGTCATTCACAGGAGCAACCACTCAAAAACTAACACTTGGTGGTATTTTCTTTTTGGATACACTTTCGCAATTCGTGTTTTCAAATGTTTGACGTGCTCTAAGAAAGATTCATTACTATACCATCTGCTGCACAACTTAATTCTGAATAAAATGATATAACATTAAAACTGAATAATAAGAATCTTTCGAGTATCTCTTCGGTTAAAACCATACCACGGCGTGAGCATGTCAAACAAGGAGTCTGCAGTGTTTTCGAATTTTTTACTTCAGAAATTTCTCTTCGAAATATTTTCACTAAAATCTCGAAACATCAAGCGATGAAGAATTTATGAAGTATCTTGTAGTATGTGTCAAAGTATGGAGGGAACTAATTCCTAAGCATCAAACTTTTTAATCAATTTTGAGTTGTTTTACCGTAGCACTTGAGTATCTGTCAATTTTTTCTATTTTGTGAAAAATAATCTAAAAGAAGTGCTGCAGTATCTAGAGTATAAACTCAGACGAACCTCTCCCCCGACTTCTACAGATTGTAACAGACTTTATTGATATATGATGAAAGATTTTATATCAATAACGTCTCGTTCTATTATATGTACTAGTTCCTTTTTATATTCGAAACAACAAGTTAACTGTTCTGTCAAGCAAAAAATTCTCTATCAAACACGCTTAGAATGAATTGTTTGTGCTGTATTATGGATCTTCATAAGAACTAAAATATATGTGTCTCATTAATGATAGGACACCCGTGATAGAGATATTGAAAAAGTTCTATATTACTGCTAACTTAAAAGAATACAGTTTTATACAAAATAATTTGTTCCATTCCTATATGTAAATCATATTTAGGTTTATTAGATCGGAATTGAATATATATATGTATATATATTCTTAATAGACAATTTATGCCTTGATATATATTTATCGATGAATCATGAAAAGAAACAGGTGTAGATCTTTTTAGCGCTACAGTCAATGTCAAAAATTTTCTCAATTGAGATCATATTTCATTCTAACAATTCACTGAGATATAGTTTTAAACTAAACAAACAAAAAGAAAATATAAAAATCAATCAATGATATTAATTGGTGAGTGAGTCACTCATATCATATGTGCTGATAGTATTGATTGGTCAGTTATTTTATTTTCATCTATTATTTCTTCTATTTCATTTTGTCTTTGTCTCAAGACAATAATGTGGGTCAAACCTTCCGAAGTTCTGGTAAATTAATTGTTTATAATAAAATTTGAAATTATATTGTATTCTATTTTTCTATTGTTAGGTAACGGGATTTTGGTAAAAATCATTTATGATTGTTGTTTTCTATATATATATATAATTCTATTAACTTTTGATATAGGTCTACTGATCGAGCTAATCCATATTTTGCATTACAACGTCGTCGAGGTCATGATGAAGCATATAGTGGTATTACTGGTCTCGTTGTTGCTACCATTGATTCTGTATTAGATAGCAAAGTAAAATAAAAATATAAAAATAAAAATAAAAATATTTTTTTCATAGACAAATCGTTATCGAATTCTTCATCAAAGACCTGATTCTGAAGTATATCATTGTATGTTAAATTAAATTTATTAAAATAAAATGAAACAAAACATATGTCCATTGGATCGTTTCTGTTTTTTTTTTTTATTAGTAATTGCTGAAGCAGATACAAAAGAAGAAATTGAAGAACATTGGAAATGGATTGAAGAACATTTAATGCCAACACTTGGTATAATAATCTATTGAATATGTAGATCATTTAATTTACTTATTATTATTATTATTATTATAGGAGGAATTGATGTAGGTGTTGATGTAACTGATTATGTACAATGTAAAATAAAAAGTTTATGTGCACAAGCTGATGAAGATGAAATAGATGGTAAAAAATAAAACAAATATTAATATTAAAATAAAATCATAATAATAGATTTTGAATCTGAAAAATTCAAAAATGCTACAAAAAAATTTCA